ACTCTTCCATCTAATCCTCCAAGTAAGAATATTGATCTTGATAAGAACCCAATTATTCCACATGGTCTCCGCACCACTAACCAGGAGCCTACTAGAATCTATAAAAGAACGAGCCACAAAAACTGAAAAAACATTTGAGGTGTCTCCAAGCCAACCCAATATGTCCGACATGTCCTCCAATCGATGGTTCTCCAAAACCTCCAAAACTTCATTCCACTGGCATTGCTCTATCCCCCCTAGGAATCCAACGAAGGTTACTCGGGTCCCAACCTATACTAACTCGGTCTTTGATAGTAACAAATTTATGATTATCTAAGGCATAAATCCTATGAAAAGAAATTAGAAATGGAGCCTCATTTACCCATTTGTCATGCCAAAAACTCGTAGAAGCACCATCTCCTACCCTAATTGGGCATGAAGAAAGAAGGCCAATTTCGCGATCTCTAAGATTTGTATTCATGCGAATAAGATTATTCCAATGCCCCGAAAAAGAACCGCGTGGAGATATAGAGGAAAGACCACCACTGCCCATAAATGGTTTTGATAACCCTCACCCACAACAAATTAGAATGGTAAAAAAAATCTCTATGGCCACTTGAACATCATAGCTCCATTAAAAGCAAAAAGGCTTCTAACTCTAAGACCACCAACTTTTTTAGAAACCATAATTTTATTCCAATTCACCCACTGCATACTCCTGTCATCTGTATCAGCCTCCCAAAAAAATCTGGCCCTCAAAGATTCCAAAACACGAAGAACTGTAACCGGAGTTCGAAACATAGATAAAAAAATAACTACCCAACGACCCTAGCACCGATTTAATTAGAGTAAGCCGACTACCAAAAGAAAGACATTTGGCCTTCCAAGTCACTAACCTGTTGCGAAATCTTTCAATAGCAAGAGAGCAAGAATTCACTTAGTTCATATTTTGACCCATAGGCACCCTAAGATGAATAAAAGGAAGGTACTCATAAAAGTAACCCATAATATTAATACATCTACTTTTATGTAGGTTGATTTTAAGACCCGAAGCGAGAAAGAAACATCTAAGGATACGGAGAATATGAGTAACATCATCCAAACTCCAAGGCGAGAGAATAACAACATCGTCTACATAAAGGAGATGTGATATTTCTATATCACCAATAGAAATATCCCTGAAGACACCAGCTATCCGAGCTCTATCAAGTGCCACGTGAAGCCCCTCCCATAGCTAATATAAAATGAAAAGGATATAGAGGATCTTCTTGCCTCAATCCTCTTTGAATCTGAGCTCTTGAGTAGGCGAACCATTAACTAGAACCAAGGCTCTAGCATAACTAAGCATCTCTATGGTCCAACCACACCACTTTGACCGGAATCCCATAATGCTCATGATTTCAGGAAGATAGTCTGAGGAATGAGAATCATAGGCTTTCTCAAAATCCACTTTGAAAATCATGAGAGGATTTTTAGAATCTTTACACCATGCTACGACCTCTTTGAGGAGAAAATGACCATCTAAAATATGTCTACTCTTTATAAAGACAGACTACTCCGGACTAACCACAAAACCAATAACCATCGCCAATTTGTTAGCTAAAAGTTTACTAATAATCTTGTATTGGCAACCGATTAAACTAATGAGTCTAAAATCACGAACAAACTTCGGGTCCTTGACTTTAGGGATGAAAGTAAAGAAAGAAGCGTTGCAACCTTTAGGAATATTCGAATGAGTATGAAAATGCATAACAAAAGCCACCAAATCCTCTTCCAAAAGATCCGAATATCTCTTTATGAACCCCAAAGTAAAACCGTTCATACCCGAGGCATTGGAAGACCCACCATCCCAAACCGCTCTTTTGATTACATCCAAGTAAAAGGATCCCGAATAAAATGCATCTGAGATTTCGAAAGAGAAGAAAAGGAGGAACCATTAGTTTTAGGTCTAATCCCTTTCTGACGTGAGAACAAAGACTGACAGAAATCTTGAAATCCATCCTTCACCCGCCCTGGTAGTCAACCTAAATACCATCACTATACACCCCCCCCCCCCCAATTGTCATTTGACGCCTCTTTCGATTAACAACACCATCGAAAAAACATGAATTCTCATCCCCTTCTATACCCCAATGAATCGCCTTATGAGCTAGATCAATGTAAGAAACACGATCTAACTCGTTTAAATCCTTCTGAATTGAAACTCGTTGTTCATGTAAAACAACTGAACCATCGTTGACCATTAACCGAGCATCAATAGATTCAAGGGTCTCCTGAATTTTCTTTCTTTTTGACCCCATTCAATACCGAGAAGAGGCATTCCACAGTTTAATGTTATATTTAAGGTTCTGTAATTTTTTCTTAAATATAACCCAATGATTATTTGCCTCCACAACCGAGCCGAAGTATGTCTCACCGTACCATCGAAACCATCCATATCAAGCCAAAATGAAACAGCATAAAAGGATATGAAAAAGAAATTTTGATATCTTATAAAAATAAAGTTCCAAAATCAATATAATAATCTTTTTTGTTAATAAAATAATCAAACTAATTTTTATTTTATTAATTTTTTTTATATTGATTTCAAGATATGAAATATTTGTATATATTTATTAATTTTTGTGTTTATTACCTTTTTTTATTATTAATTTTATTTATGTATTAAATTATAGTATTTTATCCAAAAAAAAAAAAGTGATGGAAGTCAAGTGTAACCATTTTTTCTGTTTTGAAGTGAGGGGATAATAAAATGGTATCAAGGTGGTAAAGAATAAAACACCCAAAAAAAACGAATAAAAAAGTACTTCATTACTTAAAATAAAAATTACATAAAAACAAACTAAGAATAAAAAACCCTAGAAAACAACCAGGATTTAAGAAAATATAACCTAGATTAAAAAAACAAAACAATCTACGGGATATATTTTTTCATGATCTTCTCTTTCTTCTTCAAAACTAGCTCGAGGGCCGGTCCCGAAAGATGATCGGTGTTTTCCATAAAAAACTCCATATCCTCTAATTCATGCCTTTCCGCCTGTTCCTTTTTTTTCATCTTCTTTTTCTTTGTCGAATATCAAACGTTAAATGAAGTTCAGATTGTATCGATCAAATGTCGCCTTTATTTTCCGCATTTCGTCCGCGTCCATGCGGAAATCTGATGCAGCGGAAGAAGTCCCTTCCCCTTACGTTTTGCTTTGTCCCTATCTATCGGTCGGACAATTTCTTCTACCTCAAATTCGTCCTCGTCATTTAAATCTAGCCTGACATGACAATCAAAAGAAGTTGTGTACCCCGTAGAGCCCTTTTTTGTTCTTTTTGATTGGCCTTCTTCTTGTAGTATAATATCTAGTTCATATTTTTTCTACTTTGGGCTAAGAATTAACAATTTTCAACAGTCGTGCGACTTGAATGCTTTTCCCGTTTCTTTGCAAAAAAATGCAACACCTCTTGCAGAATTTTTTCATCTCCTTGATCGCTTCTCCTTTTGAGTTTTTAGGTTGATGTACAACCCGTTCATTTTTTAGACGTCTTTCGCTATTTCTCAAAACATTGAATTCAGCAGGTATTTGGTACAGTGTTATTCATCTTCTTTACCTAAGCCTTGCGAAATCTCTTAAGAATGTGAATCCAATAATGATCAGCCGGTTGTGCATTTCTCTTCGATAAATCATCTGAAATGTCATCCCAAGCTTTTGTGAACACTATGGTGTCAGCTTCTGCCTTGTAGTCTCTTGCACCGGTTGTTTTCCTCTACGGCATGGCGGGGGTGTTGTGGGTGGAGTTTCCAGTACAATTTCTTCCTCCAACTTATCGAGGATTTGAAATTGTGGTTGAGAATGAAAGGGTGGTTTTTGGCTTTGATTTGAACTTGATGGAGTGGGATTAGCTTTAGGGTTGATTTAGTGATAGTTGATCGGGAAAAACGACAAAGTTTATCAACATATTTTGAGTAACATTTGGCACTTAGATGAGGTAGTATTGCCTAGCATTTTGGTATTGGAATTGTGGAGAAAATTGAATGGGGCCATCAAATTGGGAACGATAAACCCCTTGAGATGGATCAATGGCGAAAATGTTTCGAGTTGGGGTGCCTTGAACTTGAAACATCGGTTTTTTATCTTCTATAGGAGTTTGGGGTTGGATTGTTGAGATTCATTTTTTTCAATAAAATAAAGAGAATTTAATAGAAGAAGGTTTGAATTTGAAGTTGATAATAGTGAGGTGTATATATATATATATATATATATATATATATATATATATATATATATATATATATATATATATTCGAATTGTAGCCGTTGTTGAATAAAAAAAATAATTATTTTAAAACTAACCGTTGGAATGTATAGTAAAAAAAAGGAAAATTGACGAATGAGAGAAGGAGAGAGAATGCCGCGTTTCCTTTCCTGCAACCTCGGTATTGTGTTCCGAGGTGTGTGAATGTTCCCGCTCCATTTTCCCGTTTCACTCCGTTTGGCCTTAAAAATGAGATACAATTTCCTACAAATTAAACTTAGAAGATCAAGCCCATTGCAATGTGGAAAGGAGGGTTTTGTACGTGGTTGGGATTGCTACTTTAAATAATATACGGCAACATAAAAACGACTTGATTTTTCTAAAGCATAAGCGGAGCTCGGATGATGTCTTTATTAAAATACAAAGGGAGGCTCTTTATGGATTGAGAGTAGAGCCTCAAAATTAGAGATAGATAGGTGTTTGTGGATATCATCACCTAGATTAGCTTTTAAAACTATGTAATTGTAGGTTTTGAGCGCCCCAGTTTCTTGCTGTGGTTTGTTCCCGTTTTATTCAAGTTGCCTTTCAAAAAAAAAAGAAAAAATGAAAAAAAGAAAAAGAAAAATGAAAACAATTACCACGTAAGACGTGCTATACATCATTACATGCATTTCAACAATCCTGTACAAACCTCTTCACCTGATTGTTTCCTTATAAATACTTGCACTTCATACGTACATCAAACTACAAATCCTACGTTAATTTTATAACCCTCTCAAATGTTGAGAAATCCGGCCACAGTTTCCACTGTTGTAATGGAGTCAGAGTATGAAAAAATAGTGCTCTCTAATGTGGTGGTTACAAGGAAAAGAAACCTCTTGTGGGGGCGAAAATGGAGGACTATCGACATTCAAACGGGTGTTCTGATTTTAGCTATTCATTTACTTTCACTTTTCGCACCATTTAGGTTCGATTGGGATGCTTTGTATTTGCATTTTTTAGATGGGTGTTTTGTGGGATTTTTGGTATAACTCTCTCATATCATCGGAATCTAGCACACCGCAGTCTAAAGCTGCCTAAGTGTCTTGAGTACATGTTTGCTTATCTTGGGGTTCTCTCTTTCCAGGTTCGTACTTGTTTTCTTTCCTGTATGTTTTATTTAGAAAAAAATTCATGAATTGTCCTTTTAAGTTTATAGAAGATCCCTTTAACGGTTCTTATGAAACTATTTTTTGGCACAAATGGTAACTTTGGACAAAAGTTGTACACCAATGGTCCTTATGTATAATCGTCCGTTAAGTCACCATAATGATCATTTGTTAATTTTATGAAACTTTGTATAAGGGCCACTTGTGAAATTTTATTAAAATCTATTTAATGTAGTATTAATTATCATAAAGCCAATAAAAATGTAGAAGAACAAAAATATAGACAATTTAATATTTTTATCAAAAAAATAGAAATTACTAATTTGAAAAGTTTATGTCTTTATAAAAAGATATATTCAAATTTTGATAAAACTAAACAACTTTATTAAATAAAATATCAATTTTTTTATGTAAAATAAAAAATCTATCAAATGTTATTAAGATTTAACTTTTAACCAAACCAATTAAATCAATTAAATTGCATTTTCTTTTCTTCTATTCCAGTTAATAGTTTTAATGTCAATACAAATAGTTGATTGTCCAAAATTTATTTTTAATTGCACACAACATTCTTTTATTATGAAATAAAAACGAAAACATACGTTTACTTTACCTATTACTCAGAACAACATATTTATATTTTTATAACAAAATAGCGACATACTATTATTTTTATAATAACATTTTTTTTATAATAACGTATTATGTTTTTGTATAGAAATAAATATATTTGCATGTTGATTAAAAATAATAAGTTATATTTTTTCTTTATGCAAATATTACATTTTTTATGTTTTAGTTTTTTTTCCCTTTTTATTTGATTTATGTGAAGTAATAAAAAAATTTGCAAGTGATGTCTAGCCTAGCTGGATTGATGCACTGGGTTTGATACCCACATGTGTTTGAGGTTAGGAGTTCAAATCTTTGAACCTCTTAAATTTGTCTCTAGCAATTATGCCCAATGTGTGAGAAGTTTTTCCTGGAAATCTCATTGGGGGCTGAGTTTGCCCTGCAAAGGAGCTCAAACTCGGGTCACCATTCAAATATTGTGGTGAGGCCTCCGCTAAATCCTTAGCCGTTTCCAAAAAAAAGTAATAAAAAATTAAATAGACTTTTTAAAACTTCACAAATGGTCCTTATGCAAAGTTTTAGAAAATTTGACAAATGATCCTTATCCGAAATTTTAGAAACCTACACAAATGGTCATTATGGGAATTTAACATCTTTCTCTAATGGAACATATATATACATAAGGACTATTGGCTTGCAAACTTTTGTCGAAAGTGATTATTGATGCAACAAAAGTTTCACATTTGAGGAAAGTTTTTAAAACCAAAAGGATCATTATTGAATTTTTTTCTTTTGTTTATTTAAACAGCCAAATGTAGATAAATGTTATTCGTACACAGGGGGATCCTATATTTTGGGTGAGCATTCATAGATTTCATCATCAATACGTTGATTCCGAGAAAGATTCACACTCTCCCATTTTTGGGTTTTGGTTTAGTCACATGGGTTGGCTTTTTGATAGTGGCTACTTAATTGAAAAGGTAAGTTGTGTGTTTATATTAAGACAAAACAAGTTTATGTTAGTTAATTATGTCGTTAAGTTGATCATGTGTTTGCAGTATCAAAAACGTAATAACGTGGAGGATTTAAAGAATCAAGTATTCTATAGGTTCATTAAAAGAACTTATATATTGCATATATCAGCATATGCTGCCCTCGTTTACGCTTATGGTGGATTTACCTACCTTGTTTGGGCTGTGGTAAGACTTTGCATGATGAATAATATAAGTTATTACGTTTGGTGCCACTGCCATAAACTGTTTTCCTTTTTCCAATTGACCGTTAAAAATGTCATATTTAATGATGAATTTATAAGATCAAGAGCATATATGTAGGGCGTTGCAACGACTTGGGGTTACCATACGACATTTCTAGTGAATTCGGCATGTCATATTTGGGGCACTCAAAGTTGGGACACTGGTGATCTCTCCAAGAATAACTGGTACACAATTAAAGTTCAAAATTTTAATTTATATGGAGATCAATTCATTAAAAGTACAAAATATATTGTATGCACACAGGTGGGTGGCATTGGTTACTTTCGGAGAAGGATGGCATAACAATCATCATGCATTTGAATATTCAGCTCGTCATGGGTTAAAATGGTGGCAAATTGACTTTTGTTGGTATATGATAAGGTTTCTTGAAGCGGTAGGATTAGCTACCAATGTTAAGTTACCAAATGAAGCTCACAAACTAAAGAAATCATCCACTTCTCATAACAAGTTCAAGTGACCAACACATAAATACTTCAACAATAAGGATTGGATTGTATTCCATTTACGTGTCAATGTGTATGTTTATTTGCAGACTCTCACTAAATAATTGTTACAGCATGTAACATGCATGAATAATGACATATTATAGTCGTGTGTAATTTTAATTTGGTTATGGGTAAAAATTTCGAACCTTAAAGCTAAATATAAGCGGGAGACATTTAAGAATGTTTCTATTTACGTGCATTAAGTTATAAGGTGGTACTTTTTTGTGCCTTCTGTTTGAATAAATTTCGATTTGTAATGTGTAGATTAGTTTTATTCTCTATCTTAGTTGAAATTCACAAATATACCTCATATTGTTAGTTTGTTTTCGAATTCCTTTTCAATGATCCAGATATCAGATATGTAACCAATCCATTTTTCTCTTTTTTCCCCTGAATGGCTAACTTGTATTAGTGCTTGCAATGTACAAGAAAAAAGCCAGGGGATAAAACAGAGACTAATTACATCAAAGCAGGTGCATTAAATTTTGAGTCCTATCATTTGTTGTTAATCAATAAAAATAATGGAATAGCATCATCGCATTCCTACATGTCATAAAGCACCAAATAGAAAAAGTAATTACCACAAGCCTATTGTTGCTAAGTGTAACACCTGATTATTTTTATAACAAAAATAAAACATCTCTTTGATCCTAATTAAAAACTGATAATAAAACATCACTCATAAATATTATTTCTTCCAATGTTACCTAAAACATTGTCATTGAGAGTACATAGCGGAAATCTTTATATTTTCAAACATAGTTTCAAAATATAATGCGGATGTGGTTGCAATCCTCAAATATATTAATAAACAACGGGTAAAAGAAAACGCTTATTGAACCTACACAATACTCACATATTAAATTGCTTCCAAATAAAACTTAGGTTCACATAACATATGAATCCTAACATATATTATTAGTAATAACCACTATTAGAAAAAAAAGCATTTAATAAAAGGTGAAATATGATACGCACTGGATTTATGACATTAAAAGTGTGTGTAATGTTGATCTTCTAATCCCCTTTCCTCATTTAGACTTCAAAATCTGGTTTCTATTTTAATGGCATTTTTGTAAATTGACAAAAAATTAATGAAAGTATGTTGTTTATTGTATTAGGTGATACATTACGAACTTCCATCCTCTTTAAAAGTATTTGTTCATCGGTTTGGCAGGGTAGGTCATGTTGAGAAGAAAGGAGGGGTAATCTTAATCTATTTGGCTCAACTGTTAAGAGATATGAAGTGATACATTATGAACTTTGTAACGTCAAGAAAATTACAAATGGATATTTCATTTAAAAAACCATATTAACCGATTCAAACCTTTAACTTAAAAACAATAAGTGACATTCATTTATTTGAAATCATAATGTTATCAGAGTCGAATTTTAAAGACAGCGGGAATCAACATCTTCGATGCGTATGTATAGTCCCGCCGAACTCTTCTCATGAACAACCCGCAAAACATTTTATCGACAACTGGAAGCATACATCTTAGTGAGTTCCCCAGTATACCACATATTCCATCATATATAAAATGCATCCACACAAAGTCCTCAGCTCTAGCGCCAACATGCCAACTCTCCTGTCAACATGTATATAACATAAATAACAATGATATATGAAATAATGGGTCTACTCCAACCCCAAGTGAATGCTATGAGCCAATGAATAGTCTTACGGTGACATACTACCATGGTCGAAATCATGGTCTTTCCTTGCCAATGCCAGGGGCCAAATCCTTATCTTACATAAAAGTCTCAAGGGCCAGATCCTGGTCTTTCATGCAGTTGTCAGGGGCTAGATCCTAGTCGTTCATGCATTTACTAGGGGCTAGATCATGGTATTTCATACAATACATAAAGTCATATGTAGTTAGAGATCAAATAGACAGTCAAACGGATGGTCCACCCGAAAGCAATAAATCAAACAAGAACCATGCAATAATGCTTTAGACTAAGAGTTCTCAAGCTATCCAACTAAACCACAACAACCATTACTATCATTACCCCAACAATTCACGAAACCTACCAACATCATACAATCCATAGGTAAGACCCTACCAGTCTAGCATACCATGACACTAAGTGTCCTACTTTGCACAAACAATACAAGGCGATATCCTAATCAACTAGAATGCTCGTACTCTAACAGTACCTTTAACCTATCATAAAAAGGATATATAATGTCATACGTGGCATATTGAGAATACTCACATGAAACGCAAAACTAGCACACCAAGACTCTCACTTCCTTGCACTAATCAAACCTATAAACTGTCTATCACCAAATAAAGATCAACCCTTAATCAACAACCCAAATCCTTCAAGTTTGACTCAAGATCAAATTGGTCAAAAGTCATTGGTCAACGGTCAAACAAATTCAATGGTCAATGATCACCATGACGTGGTGACCTCTTGGCAACATTGTGGGCATGTACAGGCAAAACAATCACGATGCAAAGTACCATCATGTTGTGGGCCTTCCTTGGCAACGTCGTGGTCACTTCCAAAAAGATATTTTCTTCATTAAGAGCTTAATTTGTTAAGTCTTTTGGTCAACATCTCTAAAAGATTTACTTACCCTTAAATGAACCATAAAAATCCTTACTTTATGGAAATGCATGTTCAATGCATGTCTCTCCCAAAACTAGCTCAAAATGGTAAGAAATAAATTCAGAACTCCATGTATGGTACTAATCAAAATAAAAGTCTAGATCTGAAAAATATGATGACTTAGGGACCTAAGGAGTGATAAAATTGCCAAATTTATCAAAACCATCCATTCATATTAACATATCATAAAGAAAATGGTCTCGAAACCTAGATCTATAATGGGTAAACCATGAAGGTTAGAACTTGGATACTTAAAAAAGTCTATAAGATGAACCGAGAGATGGATATAAGTTTGTTAGATGATCCTTTGCTTAACAAAGACTTCCTTCAACCTTTAAATGACCAAAACACCAACATAGAGCTGAAATGACAAGAGGATAGGCTAGGGTTTGAGAGAGTAACTTCTAGGGGTGATAAAGGTTGAGAATGGACAAACCCCATCCATCACATCCTTTAAATACGACCCTAGGCCCAAAAATTAGGGTTTTACATGTTGGATTAGGTGTCTAAGCCCATAACTATAATTGATATGTACTTGACCCGAGAGTAGCATGGTCCATTTCGGGTTGCCTTCATCAGGACAATTTGATAGGATGGATATTTGAGTAAAAGGTTATTTGTGATTTATTAATATATTATAAGTATAATATATTAATTGAGAAATCATATTATTTAATTAGTATTGATCAAGAGTTGATTTGGAATTAATTTAGTGATAAAAAGAGACTAATTAAATTAACGGAGACTGAATATGTAAATCAATGAGACATATGGTATGGGCTAATGATCGATGATTAATTTGTAATAGGCTAAGCTTATGTGAAAGTCCATAAATTAATAGTCTATATAAGTTTATGGATCATAAGCCTAAGTGTAAGAATTAGGGTTACATATAACTCTTGTAATTCTACATTATATATGTGTAACCCTTTTAGCCAAAATCGGACTTAAGAGTGACATTACAAGAGTATGGATGATTTCTTGGTGCCTAACCTCTCTCTCAATATGCTCCATTTTTTCATGATGTTTGTGACTTGTTTGAGGCACAACACTTGGGGTGCTAAGCTCTGGAAAGGCCAAATTCAACAAGCTTCAACAAGAGGTAATCTTCTAACTTACTTTTGTGATTCATATATCAAATTGTAGGCTTTATGCTTTGGAAATTTTTGTTGCATGTATAACTAGAGAAAACTTAGATCCAAAGCTATTAGGGTTGTATGTGCACCATAGGAGTGTTATAGTACCTAAAACCCAACAGTGGTATCAGAGCCATGAGTAGTTTTCTGTTATATAGATGCATAGTTAATTGTTCAAAGCTGAAAAAACTGAAAAAACTGAAAAAATGTTGTTTGACAGGGGGACTCGTCGAGTCCATTCATGAACTCGACGAGTTCATGATGAACTTGACGAGTGCATAAGCTGACTCGAGGAGTTCAGTAGCCTGTTTGTAGTTTTTCAGGTCTTTTGGCATCAATTGGATTAGAATCATTACCACAAACTGTTTTGCATCATAAAATCTGTTTTTCTGATATGGTAGTGATTATTCTCATCCAATTACAAGATAAATTCTCAAATTTTAAGATAATTACTAGTTTATATGATAAAGCTAATTATTTGTAATTTTTTATTTGAAATTATCTTACTACAAGAATTGTATTATGATCAAATTGGTAAAAGATAAAAATGGTTATTTTGTAAGTTTGTAATTTGATCTAAATGTTTTTAAGGAGTTACAAATTTTGTCATCAAATTTGGAACTCAAAAGTTTTTTAAGGAGTTAAAAATAAAAATTAGTTAAATTGATCTGAATGTTTTGAAGAGTTACATATGTTATGGAACTTGAAAAGTCTCATCTTCATAAAACAAATTAACTCCTTAAGTTATGGAGTTCAAAAGTTTTTTCAAGAATTACAAAACTTGCCCTCAAGTTTTAAGAGTTGAAAAGTCTCAATTAAAAAATATTGAATTCATAGAAACCCTAGGAATTTGAAAAGTTTTCAAAAATGTAACACATGGGTTCATAACTTAAAATTAATTAAATAGTTTTAATTTGATTTAGCATATTGATGTTTTTTGAATAGTTCATTTAACTCTTATGGACTTTATTAATAGTTAATTAAATGTTTAATTAAAAGAGAATTATTAAATCCATAATCATATGGTTTAAGTTTAATTAAATTAAGAGTATAATTTATTAATAGATTAAACCATCAAGTATTTTAAAAGTTTAAAATACACCCTTATACTATATAAAATTAAAAGTCTAATATATTATATATGTATAAGTTAAAGGTCAGTCTTACCGTTAGTAGGCCTTATTCACGAAGCCAGTCTATAAGGGGAGTATAAGGTT